GGAAGTAGACAACGATGAGCATCGGCCGCAGAAGCCGCTCGCCACTGACTTAGTGATGAGCTCGATACATAATGAGGAAGATGCTTGTTCTGTAGGCTGAAACACACACACACACACACACACACACACACACACACACACACACACACAAGCATGTGCATTCAAAGCTTGCTGATGAGAAAAATATCCAAACAAATATAATACACTTTAGTGGCTGTGCGTAAATCATTTTTACCCATTCCATGGGACTTTAGAGAATGGTATAAAAAGCTTAACCACAATGCATTCTTGACTGCACAATCAGAAGTTTGTACCTCGTGATACCAGCGACAAAGTACAAAGAGGTGAAGAAGTAAAAGAGTAGAAGTCTTGTATGTGAGTGATTAATTTAGAGCAGACTGTTACAAACATAAGGCATTTAAAGTAAATGCTGAGCTAACCATACAGGGTTTGAACAAAAGGCCCTTCATAGAAAATAAGAAGGGAACCAAAGTATATCACTGTAAGAAGTGAACAAGACCAAAGAGTAGTCTGAAAAGAAAAGGGGAACAAGTTACAAAAACAAAGAGGTTAACAAATCGGCCCAGTAAGTCTCTATCAACAAGGACTTTAAATGGAAATAAATGGATTTTCTTAATCAGAAGACAGAATTGCTGACAGAGTCAACAAGATAAAAAGCTGAGCAGTATGCTTTCCGCAAGAGATCCACTTCAGACTTAGGAACACACTTAGGGCATGGAAATGAAAAAGTATAGAAAAATCCTAGCTAAGGAAAAAACAGAAGCCAAATGATCATATAAAATATGACACTAGAAATAGACGTTAAGTCAAAACACTGTGCTGCAGGAGTATCTTCCGCTACTTCAGCCAATAGTCGCTGAAGTACGAGCCCACGGTGCTGTAGGAGGGCCTTCCTCTCTGTCAGCCAATAGCCGCTGAAATACCAGCCCACTGGGGCGTGGTATATTTCTCTTTTAAAAAGAGCCACAGATCTCGGCTCAGGCCTCTTGGTTCCGGAGCTTGGTCCTGGCTCCTGCTCCCGGCTCCTGCTCCCGGCTCCTGCTCCAGCGACTAGGCTCCCTTCCTGACGGTTTATGGTGTATGTAAGTTTTACCCCCCAAAATAAATAACCCCTTAAAGCATAACTGGTGTGGGATTGATTCGCCATTAAAACTGTTACAAAAGACAGATAGTATGTAGTGATAAAATAGCCAACCCACCAAAAACTATCATGCTTATAACTATACACACACCCAGCATCAGCACTAACCATATGAAATAAACTGAACTTTAACCCCAGAAGAACAAGAAAGTGAAGCTTGAATGACAAATACTGTGCTGGGCCCCTGTGCACGGGGTGACAGGTTGGAATGGTCTACTGTAGCCTCTTTAGATTCTTAATCTCTCCTGAAATGGTAGAGCACTGTTTTGTTTGCCTTTTGTTCACCTAGTTGGATTGATAGTTGTGTTGAACATAAGCAGATGTATTTCTTGTCATTATACCCAGAGCAATACTGTATAATAAAGATCTATGTGCAATTTACATTACATTGGCAGTATAAGTAATTGTTAAGAATACAGTAAAAGGCTGAGCATTGGTAGGTTTGAGTATTTGTGATGGCCCTGGGGTCAGTTCCCTATGAATGCCCAGGGTTGACTCTACAATGCATTCTACTGACAGGAATGGAGCACACATTCTTTTCAATTGGAACATTGTCCAGGGTTGAGAGAATTTTATGTCACAAAATAAGTCTCAACAAATTTGAGATGTTGAAACCATACCAAGTAGTGTTTGTGACAGCAATGGAATGAAACTGGCAGTAATAGAAGAAGGAAAACTAGAAAAATCAGAAATAAGTTGGAGTTAAACAACACACTTCCGAGCAACTAGTGAGTTAAAGAGAAACTCAAAGGAAAATAGAAAGATTGTTTGAGATGAGCAAAAACAAACCACAGCATATTGAACCTTACATGATACCAAAAATAGTAATAATGAAAGGTTTATAGGGATGAACGAGTACATTAAAAAATATCTTAACAATATCACTCCATACATTGTGTAACTTGAACAAACCAAGATGAGAGTCCACAGAAGAGTGAAGCAATAAGCATTTGAACATGAGTACATAACAGAAGTATTGGAAACATGCCAAAAAAATGAAACTGCTTTTTTCATGATAAACAAAGCTGATACCTCTTTAAATGAAAAGAGAAAGAAAGCAGCTCCAAATATGTGACAGACTTTATAACTGATACCATAGAAAGAACAAATATAAGAAACCAATGTGAATATATATATATACACATATATATGTACATATTTGATATGCCAAAAATTTGAGTAACCTTGATGATATGGACCAATTCCAACAAACTTGTAACCCACCTAAGCAGTATCATTAGGAAACAGAAAATCTGACCAGCTACCATTGAGAATTGAGCCAGAACTCTAGCATCTCTAAGAAGGGAAAACAGTAGACAGTCTAAGGCTCCCAAACACTTGAAAAAGTCCAGGACATTGTTTCTCAAACTCATCAGATATCTGAAATTGGAACTGTTGAAAATAGATTTATTTTTATGAAGTGAGGATTTCTCTGATACCAAAGACACTGCAAGAAATGAGAAGCAGCATTGACCCTGGTTAATATAGATGAATACCACCAACAAGATACTAGCAAGCTAAATTCAAGATAGCATTAGACAGATCATATGTTATAGTGGCACAGGGCTTACCACTATGATGCTCAAATGGCTAGTGCTCTCTCTCTCTCTCTCTCTCTCTCTCTCTCTCTCTCTCTCTCTCT